CCGCGGGCCAGTTCTTCCATATTGAGAGCAAGGGGAGCAAGGAGACGCCTCTGCCAAGGTTGGAGCAGAGCTGCACCCCCTGAACTATTGGGTGTTGGACACGGGCGCTGCTTGGACAATGACGCCGCGCAAGGACCTGCCGGACAACGTACGCGCTGTACCGATCAATGAGGTGTGCTCTGCCTCTGGACACGCACTGAAGGTGGCTGGTGTGGGGCGAGCTGCGTTTAAGGGAGCGGACAGCAAGCCGGTGGTGCTGCACGACGTTCTCCTCGTTCCTGATCCAGCAGCGTCGCGCGTGGCCCACTGGGAGCGAACAGTGGCGTCAGCATCAGCAGCAGGGGCAGGGGCAGTGCCAGAGGTGAGGTCAAAGAGAGAGAGACTGTCTGCCCTGTCGCACTATAAGAACAGCTGCAGGTCATCTAGCGAGACCTCAAAGTCAATGGCCCTACCCTCAGCGTCAAAGGCGAGGACACTAGGAGTAGCCATGACCCTAGACGACCAGTAGTGCAAGCAGTAGGGTGGGGGGGGGAGTGCAGTGACAGAAGGAGCTGTGCTCACCAGACTGTGCAGGTCGGGTGGCTCGGAAGAAGGGCGGCTCGAACGCTCGGCGGCTCGGCTGCTGCAGTAGGGGACGAGCAGGGACAGGCAGCGTACGAGCGGCGAATACCGCACGGGCGGCAACGGGCCGGGGCACAGGCGTCGCACGGGCGGCGTGGGGCCGGGACGGCGGCGCGGGGCCGGGACGGACGGCGTACGGGCGGCGTGGGGCCGGGACGGCGGCGCAGGGCCGGGACGGGCGGCGCACAGGCGACGTAGGGCCGGGACGGCGGTGCGCGACCGGGACGGGCGGCACACGGGCGGCGTGGGGCCGGGACTGGCGGCGCACTGGCGTCGACGGGCGGGGCAGCGGCGCACTGGCGTGGGGCCGGGGCAGCGGCGCGCGGCCGGGACGGGCGGCGCACAGGCGGCGTGGGGCCGAAGCAGCGGCGCGCGGGCGTCTGGGGGCCGGGACGGCGGCCCGCGGGCGTCTAGGGGCCGGGACGGGCGGCGCGCGGGCGTCTAGGAGCCAGGACGGGCGGCGCACGGGCGTCTAGGGGCCGGGACGGACGGCGCGCGGGCGTCTAGGGGCCGGGACGGGCGGCGCGCGGGCGTCTAGGGGCCGGGACGGGCGGCACGTGGGCGTCTAGGGGCCGGGACGGGCGGCACATGGGCGTCTAGGGGCAAGGACGGGTGGCGCGCGGGCGTCTAGGGGCCGGGACGGGCGGCGCGCGGGCGTCTAGGGGCCGGGACGGGCGGCGCGCGGGCGTCTAGGGGCCGGGACGGGTGGTGCGCGGTCGTCTAGGGGTCGGGACGGGCGGCGCGCTGGCATCTAAGAGGCCGGGACGGGCGGTGCGCGGCGTCTAGGGGCCGGGACGGGCGGCGCGCTGGCGTCTAAGGGCCGCAACGGGCAGCTAAAGGGGCCACTAGGGGCCGAGAGATAGGGGAGCGCGACTCGGGCAGGGGCAGAGTGCGCTCCGGGCAGGAAAAAAAAAAGAACGGTGGGCCCTAGGAACAGTTCCCACGAGGGAACCTGCTCGATACCGTGAGAAAACTAGAACGAGAATGAATGAACTATGATTGAAGTGATTACAAATAGGAAACCCTAATTCGGTTGTACCCCCTATGGGATACCCCACTATAGCCTACACAATAGCATAAGCTATAAAGTTCTGACAGGCAGTAGCAGCAGCAGTGGCTAGAGCAGCAGTAGCTGCGACGGCTGCAGCAGGGGCCGTAGCGGATGTAGCTGCGGCTGCGGTAGCAGCGACGGCTGCAGCAGAGGATGTAGTAACAGCAGCAGGTAATAGCGGCAGCTGTAGCAGTTGTTGCGGCAACGAATAGAAGCAGCAGCAGCCGTAGCTACAGGAGCTGCAGTAGCTGTGGCTATAGTGGCTGCAAGAGCAGGGACGACAACAGCTGTAGCGGCAGCAGCAGGCAGCAAGGTGCGCGCCGCGCGGGGTAGGGGGTCGCGATCGAGCAGGGTAAGGGGGGTCGCAATCGAAATGGCCAGGGGGTCGTAATAAAATAGGTTAGGGGGTCGTGAATGAGCAGGGCAGGGAGACAATTGCGGGCAAGGCAGGGGGTCGCCGTCATGGCAGCAGGAATAACGTACGACGGGCAGCTAAAAACAAATCGCGCAGTCTAGGAACGTCTAGACCAAATCTCTTAATACCATATTACGAGAATAAGGAGAAGTGCGTGTATTAGGTCAAAGGGAGGGGTACAAGAGTATCAAGAGAAAAATGTGTACCTCATAAAGATGCAGTTCACTACAGGCTACACAAAGGAATGGGATATGACATTGAGAATGATTTTTTTACTTGGAGTTGCGAAATCGAACGGATGATAGAAGCAACACAAATCTGGGAGTACTTCACAGAAGAGGTGCAGTTCCCTGTTCATGGAACAGCCGAACAGCAACGCGGTTTCGGCTTTCAGTCAATGATGGTGTTCACAATACTTTTTTTTTGTAACATGTCATTTACTGAACAGCAAGGTATCAGATCAGGAATCCAGCGGTGTTAGCCTTGCAATATTTGAAGCGGTTTCATGAGTCATCAAACGACGTTACACAGAGCAGACTCAACTCGCAGCTGAACAACGAGGAGATGAAACCAGGAGAGAAGGAATTACAATATATTAACAGGTGCAGAGAATCGTGAGATCAACTCAAGCTAGTCGGAGGAAACCTCCCCGAGTCTATGTTTGTGACGGTTGTAGTTGCTAGACTGAGACCACAGTGGTGCCTGATACGCTCGCTTCTTCGAACCCACGACAATGTCTTGGAGATGCACCTTTGCGCAACTCTTCTGGCTGAACAACAGGATATAGACCTATGCAACAGCAAGAGCAACAAGATAGTTAACCAGTTTGCTTTTCTGGCACATAGTCAAGTGGAGCCGCAGAAACAGCAACGACAAAGGCATTTTTGGCTAAAGCAGAAACAGTGACAACAGCAGCCACTGCAGCATCAGCAATAGTATGACACTCCCGTAATCACCACTCACCACATCAACAATCGACTTTGCTCTGCTGGAGCGCGATCGACCAAGTCGTGCTGGCACGCGGTCGACTGTGTTGCGTTGGAAGTCGACTAGCAGCTTTGCTAGTTCTGATGTAGCCTTGCATGCCAATGTTGTCGCACCTATTGTTGTCAACATTTCCTAGTGAAACTCTTGCCAATTCTCCGTGTGAACTAGCAAGTGCTACGAGCACTTGGAAACGACCAAGTGAACGAACGTGGAGATCACCCTCTCACCCTTGTCTAGCCCGTAGTCTAGCTCCTCTTGAAGTAGTTATCTCCGCATGGTGTAGTGAGCGTGGACGGCACCGCGACGTAATTTTCGGCCTAGTCAACTTAGTGGTCACTTACATATTGTGTTTGTAGGCCGGCAGCAGTGCTAGGCGCCATGGTGGACCTCGTAGTGCACGCAAGCGTAGTGGACACCGTTGAGGCACGGCTGGAGAACGCGAGGAGACGTTACGAGGCTAATGAATATGGCGGCCTCCCCTGGGCGGTCCTCGGGGCTGGCATCTGCGCCGTGTGGGCGACGGGGCACCCTTCTCGGCCTGCTTCTCCTCGACCGGTGAACAACGAGGGCGGCGTCGACGTGGGCGTCAATGCTGGTAACCATGTTGGCAGCAGTGCGGGAGGCACGTCGTCGAGGCAGTGAGAAGTGATTCACACCGGTGAAGTCGGCGGCGTTCAGGCGCGAGAGATGCAGTCGTTGGCGGCTGCAGGCACCCCGCAGGGTGACGTCGAAGGACGTCGAAGCAGTGTGACGCCGATGTCGGCGATCCATGTGACAGCGGGCGGGATAGCGCCGAGCTGCGGCTACTTCAAGTTTACGCCGAACACGAGTTCTGTGACCCCCCTGCTCGTCGGTCGACCTGACATTCTCACCCGGAATGAAGCCATCGAGCCTCAGCTAGAGATGGCCAGGCTGATGGGCTTTGCTGCTGGCACCGTGGCGACTCCATCGAAGCTCTACCCCAACCTGCGTGCGGAGTTTCGCGTTATGCAGTTGCTAACCTTCACGGTCATCTCGTGGTGCTGCCGGCCAGGCGTGTAGATCGCCCTAAAGCCGTGCAGGGACTATCTGGACGCCGGCAACCAAGCGTGGCACTTCATCGAGTCGATGTACCAGGTCACCGTCGACCTGTACATTGGCCAACTCGAAGAGCAGACGCATATGCGGATGGGCGACCTACTACTGCAACCGGGCTCGGCGACTTCTCGCCACTATGAGGATGTCCGGCGTGCAATACTCGGCGGCGTCGTACATTACACACGTGCTGAAGGGGCTCCCGAGCAGCTACAACCTGCTGAAACAGCTGTCGGTGGTGCCGAGCACACAGGCGACGCTCAACGAGGACTCCCTGACCTCGTACATCATGCGGGACGAGGCAATGCAAGAAGCCGGGCGGTCCTTAGAGCTCCTGCCGCAGGCGAACAACGTCGCCCCGGCGAACCAAGGTGGTCGATCGGGACAGCGCAGGCACTCTGGCGGCAGTGGTGGTAGTGGCGGGATGCAGACTAAGGACGCCTACAAGAGGAAGTCGGCCCAGGATGGCGATCGAGGAGAAGGAGGTCGACGTCGGGAGTGCTGGTTGTGCCACAGCCCCGCCCATCTCTCCTTCGAGTGCCCCGACCGCAGTGACTCGGACGACGACGACGACGCCAAGGGTGGCCGAGGGAGGTCAGCCGAGCGTCGCCCTTGTTGGGAGAGCAAGCCACGCAGGGAGAAGCAGTCGACCAAGTCGTTGACCACGGCCAAATACGCCGACTCCTTGGCAAACGGCGAGACGACAAGGAGGTGTCGTGCTCGCTGGTTGGCGTTGTGGAGCCGACCTTCTTGCTGGCACGGGAGGCTGGCGAGGATTTCCAAACAATGGCGGCGGCCGTGCAGGTGAACCCGGCGGTGGTCCTGCTCGACAGCGGCTGCTCGCATGACCTGATGGGTACGCAGGAGGTCTTTGTCGACCTGCAGCCAAGCGGCGACGATAGGCACGTGCTCCGCTACAATGGTGCGCTGCAGGACGTCCAGGGCCAAAGTATTGTCGCTCTGCTAGGAGAGGTCGGGAAGCAGGTGCTGATTCCCGATGTGCTCTACGTTCCGAGCGTGCACGCGAACCTGCTGTCGGCTGGCCAGCTGAAGGAGAACGGTGTGAAGCTGAAGCAGGACGGCGACGGGATTTTGCTCGACACGGGGGGAGGGGACGTCCTCGGTCGGGCGTCCTACACTGGCCGGGTCCTCTGCACCGACCTACGTCCCTACTCGACGAAGTCGACGACGTCCACGACGGACGTGGTGGCCCTGCGGGCGATCGCTTCGGCGACAAATTCCACGCCATACCGACTGCATGCAAGGCTTGCGCACGTCGGCATGGACACCATTCGAAGCTCGGCAAAGGACGAGGTCGCCAATGGGCTGAACCTCATGTCGGCGTCTGCGCCGACCCACCGTGTGTTTCATGCGTCGGCGGGAAGCTGCCGCGGCACGTCTTCCCCGACCAGAGCTCCGACGCCGACGACGTACTGGCCGTCGTGCCTTTCGACCTGTGCGGGCCGTTTCGCATGGCTGCCAAGGATGGCAGCTTATACTTCTTGCTGCTGAAGGACCGCAAGACCTGCTTTGTGTGGGTGAGGCCGGTCGCCAAGAAATCGGACGTGCGGCAAGAGTTTGTGTAGTGGCTGGCAGTCGCTGAGCGGCAGACGAAGAAGTCGGTGCTGATGCTACGCTCTGACCAGGGAGGGGAGTTCCTCGGGAAGGAGTTCACCGCCTTCGTGGATGACAAGGGGATCATCCACGACCTGACCTGCCCGTACACCCCGCAGCAGAACGGCATGGCGGAGCGGGAGATGAGGGCGGTGGTGGAGTTGGTGCGGATGATGTTGCTGCACATGGGCGTGCAGCACCATTGGTGGCATCTCATTCTGCGGCAGGCCGTCTGGGTCCGCAACTGCCTTGAGAGGTTGACGTTGCCGCCGCGGACGACGCCGTACCAGCTGCTCACCAGGAAGAAGCCCGACTTGTCGTTGGCGCATGTGTGGAACTGCATGGCGCAGTTTCTCGTCCCTGACCAGCAGCGTGGTAGGAAGCTGAAGCCGAAGGCCTGGTCAGGCCTTCACATTGGCATGTCAGAGGAGAACAAGGGGTGTGAGCTCCTCGACATCGTAGACAACCGGGAGGTTACCACGTCAAACGTGGTGTTTTACGAGACCATGTCGTTGGAGGTGTGGAAGTCGGAGCATGCCGCTGGAGGTGTGGCCTCCAGCAGCTTCTTTAACTCCTTCAGCATCTCGGCACTACTGCTGGCGGCGATCAAGTCGTCGACCTAAACCAGCACCCAGCAAGTCACCTTGTCGTCGCGGACCTTGAAGTAGAGCACTGTGTCGACCTGGCTCTTCTTCCACTCGGCGCCAACCAGCATGTTGTTGAGTGCCTTGTACCACAACAGTGGCGACTGCTTCAGCCCGTACAGGCTCTTCAACGGCTTGCACCCCCGGCCAGTCCCGTCGTTAAAGTAGTCCGGCTAGTACATGTACAGCAGCCGATCGAGCTTGCTCTGAAAGAAGGTGTTCTTCATGTCGAGCTGCATCAGGCTGAGGTCGAGGACGACGACGAAGCTGAGGAAGATCCTCAGCGTGACGTAGCTGCTTACCAGCGCGTACGTTTCGTCGTAGTTGGCGCCATACACCTGCGTGAAGCCCTTCACGTAAGCCTCGTTTTCTCGCGCCCAACGGTGTCGTAGATGTTGTACTTCGTCGTCAGCACCCACCGGTTCTTCATTATATTCACCCCAGGTGGGCTGTCGACAGCTCTTAGGTTCCCATGCCGATGGGGCTGCGGATCTCCTCCTCCATGGCGGCCTTCACCGCCTTGCCCTTCCAGTCCGCGGACAACGTAACCCTGCCGCAGCTGTTCTATACGCGGGAACTATATACAGAGAGTATCATGGTATTAATATCATGATCAACGTTATCTATATGGAATAAATTGTATAATTGAGAACGTTATCTCTATGGAATAAATTGTATCATTGTATAGATTGTATCAGCGGGAATAACGTACGACGGGCAGCTAAAAACAAATCGCGCAGGCTATAATGTCTTAACCAAATCTCTTAATACGATGTTAAGAGACTAAGCAGAAGTGTGTGTATTAGGCCAAAGGGAGGGGTACAAGAGTATCAAGAGAAAAGTGTGTACCTCATAAGATGCAGATCACTACAGGCTACACAAAGGAATGAGATATGACATTGAGAATTATTTCTTTACTTGGAGTTTTGAAATCGAACGGATAATAGAAGCAACACAAAGCTGGGAGTACTTTACAGAATAGGAGCAGTTCCTTGTTCATGGAATACCCGAACAGCAACGCGGTGTCGGCTTTCAGTCAATGATAGTGTTCATAATACTTTTTTTCGTAACCTGTCATTTACTGAACACTTGAAGGTATCATATCATAAATAAGAATTGGGAATCCAGCGGTATTAGCCTTGCAACATTTGAAGCGGTTACATGAGTCATTTGACGACGTTACACAAAGCAGACTCAACTCACAGCTGGACAACGAGGAGATGAAACCAAGAGAGAAGAAATTACAACATATTAACAGGTACAGAGAATCGTGAGATCAACTCAAGCTAGTTGGAGGAAACCTCCTTGAGTCAATGTTTGTAACGGTTGTGATGCTAGCCTCAGACGACAGTAGTGCCAGATGCTGAGCAACAGGATATGGACCTATGCAACAGCAAGAGCAACAAGATAGTTAACCAGGCTACTTTTCTGGCACATAGCCAAGTAGAGCCGCAGAAACAGCAACGACAAAAGCATTTTTGGCTAAAGCAGAAACGATAACAACAGCAGCCACAGCAGCATCAGCAATAGTACGACACTCCCGTAATCACCACTCACCACATCAACAATCGATAACTTAGCGTACATCTGCTGCTTCACCATAGGTTGCTACCGCTATTCTTTCATTTGCACTGGCACAGACAAAACCACAGACTACATCAACACTAACAAAGGGGCAGAACGTGCAAGCTTGGATGCCACAAATGGTTTTTTGCTTCCTAGGCTCACATCCAACCTTTGCACTAGATGAAGTTGAATTGTCAATTTCAAAAACTCTTGAAGTCAACCCACAATATGCAGTTTCAGTTCGTGCAGATTACGGTCCAACGTGTTGTTGCTTGACAGGTGTTGCGTACAGCACATATGCACGTTAGATATCAACAATGGTTACGTAATCAAGCTTGAAACTCGACTCTAACATGAAGATATAATTATAGTTGCAAACAACTTGATATACCGGACGACATGCCAATGTTGTTGAAAATCTTGCCAATTCTCCCTGTGAACTAGCAAGTACTATGAGCACTTGGAAACGACCAAGTGAACGAACACGGAGATCACCCTCTTATCCATGCGTAGCCCGTATTCTGGCTCGCGTCGAAGTAATTATCTCCGCATGGTGCAGTGAGCGTGGACGGCACCGCGATGTAATTTTCAGCCTAGTCAACTTAGTCGTCACTTACCTATTGCATTCGTAGGCCGGCAGCAGTGCTAGACGCCATGGTGGACCTCGTAGTGCAGGCGGGCATAGTGGACACCGTTGAGGTATGGCTGAAGAGACGTCACGAGGCTAATGAATACGGCGACTTCCCCTGGGCGGTCGTCGAGGCTGGCATCCGCGCCGTGTGGGTGACGGAGCACCCTTCTCGGCCTGCTTCTCCTCGACCGGTGAACAACGAGGGCGGCGTCGACGTGGGCGTCAACGCTGGTAACCATGTCGGCAGTAGGGTGGGAGGAGCGTCGTCGAGGCAGCGATGAGTGATTCACACAAGTGAAATCGGCGGCGTTCAGGCGCGAGAGATGCAGTCATTGGCGGCTCCAGGCGCCTCGCAGGGTGACGTCGAAGGACGTCGAAGCGGTGTGACACCGATGTCGGCGACCCACGTGGCAGCGGGCGGGATAGCGACGAGCTGCGGCTACTTTAAGTTTACGCCAGACAGGATTTCTGTGACCCCCCAGCTCGTCGGTCGACCTGACATTCTCACCTAGAAGGAAGCCATCGAGCCTCAGCTAGAGATGGCCAGGCTGATGGTCTTCGCCGCCGGCACTGTGGCGACGCCGTCGGAGCTCTACCCTGACCTGTGTGCGGACTTTCGCGTTATGCAGTTGCTGACCTTCACGATCATCTCGCGGTGCTGCCCGCCGGGCGTGCATATCGCCCTAAAGCCGTGCAGGAACTATCTGGACGCCGGCCACTAAGCGTGGCACTCCATCGAGTCGAATTACTAGGTCATCGACGACCTGTACATTGGCCAGCTCGAAGAACAGACACATCTGCGGATGGGCGACCTACTACTGCAACCCGGCTCGGCGACTTCTCGCCACTATGAGGATGTCCGGCGTGCAATACTCGGCGGCGTCGTACGTCACGCACGTGCTCAAGGGGCTCCTGAGCAGCTACAACCTGCTGAAACAGCTGTCGGTGGTGCCGAGCATACGGGCGACGCTCAACGAGGACTCCCTGACCTCGTACATCATGCGGGACGAGGCAATGCAAGAAGCCAAGCGGTCCTTAGAGCTCTTGCTGCCGGTGGACTACGTCTCCCCGGCGAAACAAAGTGGTCGATCGGGACAGCGCTAGCAGTCTGCGGCAGTGGTGGTAGTGGCGGGACGCCGGCTAAGGACGCCGACAAGAGGAAGTTGGTGTTGGTGTAAAGGCCTAATAAACTAAAGCTACTAAGACTTAATCAAACTTAAAACCTCTCCTCGGGGTCTCTTCCAAGGGTCCCTGGGTGCCAAGTACAAGACCAGCAGCCCCTATCCTCAGGTCCAAGTTTGTAGAGAGAGGAGTCAAGAATGACTTGGTCAAAATAACAAGAGTACCTTTAACGTCGCGCAGTGTATCGTGCAAACAGGATTAAGCTGAGAATTTCCTATATCGAATCTCACTCCAAGAGCTTTAAAATAAGCCAAGTTGCCTCACGAAAAGTTCTGCCATTTTAAAGCTATGGCTCGGACAGTGTTTGTCTAGCGTTGGAGTGCTAGCGTACTAGCGTTGACTCGGGTAGCATTCCGCCGTCGCATCGCGTAGAAACGAAATTCCAGGAAGGGAGGAATTCGCTTGAATCAAATTGAATATATCCAGGTACAAACAGAGAAGTAATATATAGTTCTAGTTAGCAAGGACCTTGGGAATCAACCTGAAAATAACTAGGGATGATCCCAAATAATTCCTAGCAACAGAACCAACCTGGCTGGACAAAATAGTAGGTGGTAGGTGTTGGGTGCAAAATACTATTTTTGCACTGCAGCCAGCCACCTACATGATGTTATGCATTTTGTGTATGTTCTGTGTTCATTCATTTTCGCATTTCGTTTCACGTGTTGTTGCTGTGGGATCATTATCGGTCGTGACGGATCATGACGAGTCGTGTTCGTTCATGTCGGCTCATGTTCGTGTCAAATTATAATCTTGTGTAGGCTATAGTGGGGTAGCTCATATAGGGTACACATTTCTAGGGTTGCATATTTGTATCACTTCCATTCCATAGTCATTCATTCTCGTTTCTTCTCATGGTATCGAGCAGGTTCCCTCGTGGGAACTGTTCCTAGGGCCCACCAAAATCAAACTTTTTTTTCCTGCCCGGAGCGCACCTCGCTTAGGCCTCCTTCGGCCCCGTCGCGTCGCCCCTAGCGACCTTTCTCGCCGCCCTTAGCGGCCCATCGCCACCCTACGCGGCCCGGCGCTGCCCTTTAGCCGCCCGTCCCGGCCCCACGCCGCCCGTGCGCCGCCCGTCCCGGCCCCGCGCCGCTGCCCCGGCCCGTTGATGCCCGTGCGCCGCCCGTCCCGGCCCCACGCCGCCCGTGCGCCGCCCGTCCCAGCCCCACGCCGCCGCCCCGGCCCCACGCCGCCCGTGCGCCGCCCGTCCCGGCCCCACGCCGCCCGTGCGCCGCCCGTCCCGGCCCCACGCCGCCCGTGCGCCGCCCGTCCCGGCCCCGCGCCGCTGCCCCGGCCCGTCGACGCCCGTGCGCCGCCCGTCCCGGCCCCACGCCGCACATGCGCCGCCCGTCCCGGCCCCACGCCGCTGTCCCGGCCCGTCGCCGCCCGTGCGCCGCTCGTCCCGGCCCCGCGCAGCTGCCCCGGCCCACCGCCGCCCGTGCGCCGCCCGTCGCGGCCCCGCGTCGTTGTCCAGGCCTGTAGCCGCCCGTGCGGTGCCGGCCCCGGCCCCATGCCGCCTGTACCGGCTCTTCGCCGCCCGTGCGCCGCCTGTCCCGGCCCGTCGCCGCCCTTTGCGGCGTCACGTGCCGCCCCTCCCCATGGCTCTGCCGCCTTACCTGCGGCCCCGACACCCTACCTGCGGCCCCGCCACCTCGCTCTCCGCCCCGTCACCTGCTGCATCGCCGAGCCGCCCACCAACCGAGCCGCCCTGCAGCCGGACTCCTAGCAGCCGAGCCGCCCTGCAGCCGGACTCCTAGCAGCCGAGCCGCCCAGCAGCAGAGCAGCAGAGCCGCCGAGCAGCCCAGCAACCGAGCCGCCCAGCAGCCGAGCAAATTGAAGGAAAGGAGGAATTCCCGGGAATCAAATTGACTATATTCAGGTACAAACAGAGAAGGAATATATAGTTCTAGCTAGCAAGGACCTTGGGAATAAACCTGGGAACAACTAGGGATGATCCCAAATAATTCCAAGCAACAGAACCAACCTGGCTGGACAAAACAGCAGGTGGTATGTTAGTAAACAACCTCTGGTTCTGTTTTTCCAACCTAAGAAAACAACAACCAGGTTCAGGTCCTAAAAAACAGAACCTGATTTGTCTTTGCCCAACCAGCCAAATGCTGGTTCCACTGGTTTCCCCTGGCCCTGTAGCAAGCAGATACAGACAAACGACATCCAACCTTCACCTAAATTGTACCCCTATAGTGCCTGCCCTGCTACACTATAGTCAACCAAACAAAATAGTACAATTTCGAGTTGGATATAACTTAATCTGCACAATCAATTCAACCGAACCGCAAAGCTTCCATCTTGGGTTCCTTTGCGAGCTCGTCCTTTTTGCTTGTACTGTTCATAGCGCGTACAATGTTGTGCCGAAGCGCATAATGTCAGAACATATAGCTTACTTATTTGTGTAGGCTATAGTGGGGTATCCCATAGGGGGTACAACCCAATTAGGGTTTCCTATTTGTACTCACTTCGTTCATACTCATTTCATCCTCGTTCAATTCTTCTCATGGAATCAGAGCAGGTCCCCTCCTAGGGACTGTTCCTAGGGCCCACCGAAGCGCGCCCCGAGGCGCGCGTTCTTTTTATTTAGCGACCCTGCGTGTCGCCCCTACCGTCGCGCTCCCGCCGCTCACTCCTCTTACGGCCGCCCGCCCTAGTGCCCTGACGGCCGCCCGCTCTAGCGCCCGAACGCCGCCCGCCCTAGCGCCCTGACGGCCGCCCGCCCTAGCGCCCTGACGGCCGCCCGCCCTAGCGCCCTGACGGCCGCCCGCCCTAGCGCCCTGACGGCCGCCCGCCCCAGCGCCCGAGCGCCGCCCGCCCTAGCGCCCGAGCGCCGCCCGCCCTAGCGCCCGAGCGCCGCCCGCCCTAGCGCCCGAGCGCCGCCCGCCCTAGAGCCCTGACGGCCGCCCGCCCTAGCGCCCGAGCGCCGCTCGCCCTAGCGCCCTGACGGCCGCCCGCCCTAGCGCCCTGACGGCCGCCCGACCTAGCGCCCGAACGCAGCCCGCCCTAGCGCCCTGACGGCCGCCCGCCCTAGCGCCCTGACGGCCGGCCGCCCGCCCCAGCGCCCGACGCCCGCGAGCCGCCCGTCGCAGCCGCCCGTGAGCTCCCTGAGCCGCCCGCGCCGCCGTCCCTGAGCCGCCTGTGCAGCCGCCCGCGAGCCGCCGGCGAGCCGCCCGTCGCGACACCAGCGCCGCACGAGCCGCCCTTACAGCCCAGCAGCCCGAGCCGCCCGAGCCGCCCGCGCCGCCCCAGCAACCCGAGCCGCCCGAGCCGCCCGAGCCGCCCGAGCCGCGCGAGCCGCCCGAGCCGCCCCAGCCGCCCGAGCCGCCCGAGCCGCCCGAGCCGCCCGAGCCGCCCGAGCCGCCCGCGCCGCCCCAGCAACCCGAGCCGCCCGAGCCGTGCCGCTGTTCCTGAGCTGTGTTCCTCTGCTGCTGACCTACCCGACTCTCCCAGCCCGGTGAGACTTTCAGCTGCTGCCATGGCCACCCCCAATGTTCTTACTTTTGACGCTGAGGGGAGGGCCATTGACTTTGCCGTCTGGATCGAAGACCTGCAGCTGTACTTACTGTGTGATGCGATAGATGAGGTCTCTCTCTTTGACTTTGTCTCTGGCGCTGTCCCTGCCCCACCTGCTGATGCTGACTCTGCCGTTCGCTCCAAGTGGGCGACCCGCGATGCTGCTGCACGTCTTGCTGTGCGTCGCCACCTCCCTTCCTCTGAGCGTGCCCACTTTAGCCAGTGCAAGACCGCTCAGGCCTTGTACGACGCTGTAGTTGCACGCTACTCCTCCCCTTCCTCCGCTACCCTTAGCCGCCTCATGCTACCGTTTCTCTTCCCTGACCTCGCCTCCTTTCCCACTGTTGCTGACCTCGTTACCCACCTCCGTGCTAGTGACACCCGCTACCGCGCTGCCCTTCCTGCTGAGTTCCGCGCTGCGAACCCTCCTCCCATGTACATCACTCTCTACTTTCTCGTCACCCGTCTCCCTGAGTCCCTTCGTGTCGTTAGGGACCAGTTTCTCTCTGTCTGTCCCACCACTCTCACTGTCGACCTCCTTGAGGAGTCCCTGCTAGCGGCTGAGAAGAGTATTGTCGCTGTAGGGGCCTCTCGGGGTGACCCTCGCACCCCCATCTTTGAGGGGTGTGGTCCTTCCCCCCTGCTGCCCTCTGTCGCCTCTGCCGCTGCGGCCGACCTCACTGGTTTTGAGTCGGTCGGCGCGGCGTCTGCCCCCAGCGGCAGACGCCGCTCTGGCAAGGGCAAGGGGGGCAAGGGAGCGGGTGGAGCTAGAGGGGGCGGTGGAGGAGGCGGTGGGGGTGGCGGGGGGAGTGGGGGTGGCGGTGGGGGTGGTGGCGGGAGTGGAGGTACTGGTGGCGGCGGTGGAGGCGGAGGTGGCGGCGGCGGTGGTAGCGGAGGAGGCGGTGGGAGCGGTGGGAGCGACGGTCCTGGTGGGGGAGGTGGCGGTGGAGACGGGGGTGGCGGTGGAGGCGGGGGTGGCGGTGGAGGCGGGGGTCGGAGTGGCTCGTCCCAGCGGAGCAGCTCTGGGGGTGGTCAGCGCCAGCAGCAGCAGCAGCAGCAGCAGCAGCCGCAGCAGCAGCCACAGCAGCAGCAGCGCTCTCGCACCGTCCCCGCCCCTCAGCAGCTCCGTGAGTGGTACTTGCAGCGTCAGCGTGGTGGTGCGCTTGGTCCCTGCCCCTACGTTCTTCGCACCGGTGACCGTGCAGGGGAGAGATGTGGAGGCGCCCACACAGCCCGCCGCTGCTTTGGCCGCCTGACCGACGCCTGGCGTCAGCAGTTTCCGGAGGCCGCTGAGATCCCCCGCTGGGGAGAGCTGTCTAGGGCTGGTGTAGCGATTTATGATCTTGATTTTGATGCTATTCTCGCTGCTATGTATGCTGTGACTGGTAGTGATGAGGATGACTGTTACCGGTGTTTCCCGCCCGACCCGGGCATTGGTACTGCCGCGTCAGGTACTAGTGAGGCTGCTGCTCTAGGTGCCAGTGCGTCTGTGCTCTCAGGTGCTGGTGAGTCTGCCCTCTCAGGTACTGTATCGGCTTCGGCCTCTCACACCTTCACCCTTGATTCTGGAGCGTCTCGCTCCTTCTTTAGGGACCGCACCACTCTCACGCCGCTGAGTCGGCCGGTTGCGGTGTCCCTGGCTGACCCCTCTGGGGGGCCTGTCCTGTCTCGCTTCTCCACTGTCCTCCCGTGTCCGGCGGCCCCCTCTGGCACCCTGACTGGTCTCTACCTCCCCTCGTTCTCGACGAACTTGGTGAGTGGTGCTGACCTCCAGGATGCGGGTGTCCACCAGTTCACCCCTGCTCGTCAGCGGGTGACTCAATGCACGGAGGCGGATACAGGTCGCCACCTGGCTACGTTTACACGTCGGCCAGGGTCAAGCCTGTACACACTGACCACTGCTTCTCCTCCAGGTGCTGAGTCTGGTAGGGTCCCTTCGTCTGGTCAGGTGTTTGCTGCAGCGTCCAGGTCTGGTCCTGAGTCTGCCCCCTGCTCGTGTCGTCGTCTGTCTCACGAGACCCTCCTTTGGCACCACCGCCTTGGCCACCCCTCTCTGCCTCGGCTCAGAGGCATGGCCTCGCGAGTCCTTGTGTCTGGTCTTCCCCGGTCTCTCCCTCCCCTTCCTCCGGGCCCTGGCCCTACCTGTGTCCCCTGTGTCGAGGGGCGCCAGCGTGCTGCCCCTCACTCCTCCCAGTTTCCTCCGACAGAGGCCCCGTTGCAGACGCTTCACATGGACGTGTGGGGCCCAGCCCGCGTCCGTGGACAGGGTCAGGAGCGCTACTTCCTGCTGGTGGTTGACGACTACTCGCGTTACACCACAGTCTTCCCCTTGCGCAGCAAGGGTGAGGTCACTGAGGTGTTGATCGACTGGATCCGCGCAGCTCGTCTCCAGCTTCGGAGGAGCTTTGGCTCTGACTTCCCTGTTTTGCGTCTGCACTCGGACAGAGGCGGAGAGTTCTCCTCTGGCCTCCTCCGTGCCTACTGTCGTGCGCGAGGCATCCGTCAGACCTTCACGCTTCCGGACTCACCACAGCAGAATGGGATTGCTGAGCGCCGCATTGGCATGGTCATGGACGTCGCTCGTACGTCCATGATGCATGCGGCTGCTCCCCATTTTCTGTGGCCGTTTGCGGTCAGGTACGCTGCGCACCAGATCAACCTCCACCCCAGGGTCTCTCGACCGGAGACCTCCCCAGCCCTGCTGTGGACGGGGAAGGTTGGCGATGCGTCGGCGTTCCGGGTCTGGGGATCTCGGGCGTTTGTTCGCGACCTGTCTGCGGACAAGCTGTCCCCTCGTGCTTCTCCCTGCGTCTTCCTGGGGTTCCCCCCCGACGCCCCTGGGTGGCAGTTTTACCACCCCACCTCTCGACGTGTTCTGTCCTCCCAGGACGTCACGTTCGACGAGTCGGTACCCTACTACCGCCTCTTCCCCTACCGCACTCCGTCCCTCCCCCCACCCCCGCTCTTCTTGGTACCAGGTCCCCCCCCGGTAGTCCCCCTCCCCCCTCAGGGTCCTGCCCCTTCAGGTGTGTCCCAGGTAGACGCGGTCGAGCCTGTCGAGGTCACTGGTGACTCTGGTGCTGCTGCGGGAGCTGAGCCTGGGGGTGCGGAGTCTGGGGGTGCTGAGCCTGGGGGTGCTGTGCCTGGGGGAGCTGAGCCTGGGGGTGCGGAGTCTGGGGGTGCTGAGCCTGGGGGTGCTGTGCC